CGGGGGCGTGCTAAGAAGGGCCACTATCTTGATTACTGATTTTTCGCTTTTCTTGTTGTTAATATGTGTTGAATAAAATGAGCAAATTTTCTCAAAACTTTCCGGACACCCTAATATATTATATCTGCACGGGGTGCAGAGAAAGTTAACGATGGCAGATAGGAGGTTACACGCGAAAGTCGAGAAAGTGACCCTTAAGCTGCTAAGGGTGAAAGGGAAGTATCACTATTACAGGCAGCCGGAAAGGGTGCTGTTTTGTCTCTGCTTGTTTCTCTAGCTGCCCTAGCACAGCGATCAGTATGGATGCGAGTAAATTCCGTCCTACACACGCCGAAAAAGCATGTGGTGCCGCCGCTAGCGGTGCATGCTTCAGGCGATTTTATACCAGGCGGATGTAATATTCGTGGGCAGAAGGTCAAAACAGCACAGAAATTTGGTGGTTCAGGGTATCTTGGTGGGGACGCATGTGGTGCGAGCGCCTGAACGGTGCGTGTTCAGGGGATCGAAATACCCCTTGAAGCTGTGTCTGGTTCCAGACACATCGAAGTTTGAGCTGAACTTCGAAAACCGGGTAGTACAGGGTACATAGTGCCCAAATGAGAAATGGGTTAAGTAATGCGCTTTCTCTTGTATTTTTTCGGGTTGGCTTTCGGGGGTCGAAAGCCCTGCTATCGTGAAATTATCTGGAGTTGAGCACCCTCTAGGCGCATACCTTGTGGTTGCTTGGGTAATACAAAAGGAAAAGAAAAGAAAATGTTGATGTAAAGAGACTGAGTGGGTAAGAAAGTGCCAAGTCCTCTTTAAATTACATGCTCGCCAGACGGAGCTTTTGGAAAACCTTGCTTGTGCCATATGAACACTATTCCTTCTGAGGCTCTTGACAGGCGTTGCCCGCATCACATGAACATTATCCGTTCTGACTACCATTTCTCCGAAAGTCCATCTGTAGGGGGAAGAACGCCGCAAGAACTCCCCGAAGTGCTGCCCTTCCGTTTCGTCTCCAAAACTGTATCGTTGAAGTACTTGGAAAACAGGCTTTTCACTTTTTTCTGACTGTGACGGGGAATGGAATCTAGAATTGTGTGATCACCCCGACCGGCTCTGCATTCTCAAAGAGTATCGTAGTAGCGCATAGCGCAATTGAAAAACAAGCGTGTGAATGCCTATTCTGAAAGTTCGCGATTTTTCAATGAGCTTTATGTTACCATTTCAGCAAAAAGAGCACACATACAGTCCTTATCTCTGAGCCAGAGTAGGCGTGGCATTTGAACATGGCACGGAACCGGTTACTCGTGGAATATTCCAGTCTGGAACAAAAGACAACAATTGCGTCGAGATGAAAATATCTCACCAGAAGTATAGACTCTTTCAGGTTAAGTTAAAGCATGCAGCCACGCCTACCCGATCTCAAGGATTTCGCGTATAGTTATAATCATCTAGACTAAAATCTCCGAGACTTACGATGGCAATGCTCAGTTATTTCGACCAAGCTTGCCGCCAACCTCGTCGGAACCATTTGTGTTACACGATTCCCTAAATTTCTACAAGGCTCACGGCTGGGCGTTTCGACGACCTTTAGCCTGGATAACCCTTTTATATGCATATTTGCAGTGTCGTCTTCTCAAACTCTTTCGCATAAAATTACAGGCATCCTCTATAAGCTGTGCAGGAGCTCTTCAGCGGCCCGAGGTTGCGGAAATCACAGCCTGAAACTCGAGTCGCAATTCCACCTGGGCATTTTGTTTTTAACCTTCTTCGTGGTGTATTCAGCGCTTGGACGCATTGTGCGGGATTTGCCAAGAACAACAGTCGTCACTTCATGAGCATGCATCACTCGGCACTCAAATATAGAGCCTTGTACGGTGTCGAATTGACCAAGCAAGGGCTAGAGAAGGTGGGAAAATGGTGATGATGTGATGGAATGGCGTGTTCAGAAATAACTTGTGTATAGCCTTTTACTACAGATTCCTACATTTTATCTGGTAAAGCATTTTTTATTTCCTCTTGCTAAAAATATAAACTTTAGCTCGTAGAAAATTGTGAGAAACTTGTTTGTGCAGGTGTTATGGACTAGTAGACCGGAAAAAGGCAAGGAAACCGCCACAAATATCCTCAACAATAAACCCCTGGTTGCTGCAACTGATTATGAGCGAGGAGTGAAAACTAGCTGTGTTTTCAAGGCAAAACAGGATAGGAGAGAAGAATAGACAAACAGCTCTAGGTCACGCTTACTCTCGGGTACAGAAATTTCACCAGTGTTGATACTTAACGCCCCTAGCTAACATTTTTCTGTTGCGAAACTGGTACGTTAACAATTGCCACTCCCTGCTGTCGGTCACGCAGGCCCACTTACGAATAAACGCTTCGGACCCATATAAAGATTATTAACAGTCCAGGGCAATGATGTCATATTGGACGTTCTACTGCGTCAGAGGTTATGTTAAGAAATGCAATATTTATTGGTCGGAAGTAATTAAAGAACATAATGCAATTTAACGGTCAGGAGGTGGTGTGGCGCGCTCACTACTCGCGCGGTCCTGGGTTCAAATCCCGGGTCGACTCCCGCCCAGGCCAACCAAGCCTTCTACCCTCCGGGGACGGTAAATTGGTACCAGATTCGTCTGGGAGGATAAATACGGCTCGGCTGGCCTCCGCAATTCATTGCCACATCGCATTCAATAAGCCACTACGATTCTGAATGGAAGTAGAATGCGTGCCGCATCCCACAAAGGGATTGATCAACGGCGAAGACTTTATCCTTTTTTATGCAATTTAACAATAGGGAAATTACTCAAGGTGTGTATTTGACGGAAACGAAACAGTTTTCGAGCAACAACTTGACTTCACGCTCATAAAGGCTCAGTGACGCCTCCCCGTCTTGTCCGTTTCTCGCCTGCTTCGAAATTTTTTTGAACTTCTTCTAAATAATGTTATTCGCCGGCCAAATACTAGTGCCACTACATCATTTGCTTCAACCGCTGCCTGTAAATCGTGAGGTGTTACGGAAAATGACGCACCTTACCATGCTTACCTTGAAACCAAATGGAGGAATGCCTGTCTTTTATGAGAACCTACGTTTCTCCCCTTCCAGTGTCCCTTATTTGACTTCAGACTCGTTCAAAAAAATATTTTCCTGCCCTCGTCTGGCTCAGTCAAATTTCAAATGTGGTCCAGGTCGCGTTCACTTAGCCAACACGTCACACTTTTGAAAAAAAGAACGATGTGCGGCGCATTCAAAAAAAGGAATGAGGCTTCACTGTTCAGTTCAGAGTTGCTAACGGTGTGTGAGAGTGTGATATTACTGCTTTACTGGTGGCCAACAATTTAATTGCAATCGTTCAGTCCTCAACGCCCAAACCGCAATGAAACCGTTGTGCTTTTGCGTTGCTCCCCTTCAATTATATTCTAATGTCAGGATACGAATGTTCAAATCAGAAAGCAATGGGAAGAAGGCGCAACACAACAAAGAGTTTTCCGTCGAATCGGCACCAGACAATAGCCAGAATGAATGATCCATAATATCGCTTGCCGACATAATTTCTGAATATTTCCGTTGCCAGACAACCTATACTCCAATGATCCAGGAAATCGCGGAGGCGTGGGCGAGGACGTGGCGGGTGACTGTGCTTGGTGGTGGATATTGCTGGGTAAGTGTAAGGTTGTTTTTTTCCGCCCAAGTAAAGGATGAAGTTGTCTGAGAGGTAAGTCTAATGCGAAAATAATGGTACATCCTACTCCGATATTCGATATAAGAATGGCACACTCAGGGCCCTTCTTTCTCGCGAATATGCCAGTATGAGTGTTGTTGCTATTCTAAGAGTGTAAAGGTTAAAATAAATGCTGCGCTACAAATCTATTTGAAATGCAAACGAAGCTTCCAGCACTTAGTCACCGGTCCGACTGGGCTCAGAAAGTTCAGGCTTTTCATCGAATGTTTCCCTGACCCAGTTTGATCCCTTCTCACCGCTTCGGCAGAAGTACAAGTACATGCGCCACAAACGTCAAGCCGCATCATTTAAAAACACCGATAGTCCTGTAAAGTTCGCCGAGAAGTATTTCTTGTTCCAGCTAATGTGACACTCGTGCTCAAAGTTCACTTTTTAACGGGCAAGTTTTCACCAAGTCTATTCCCAAGTAAATTTTAATCAAAATGTTGCCTGGATTCCCAAGGCTGAGGCGGCAAACTGTAAGCGGTGACCTATTTTCCTTACTTGGGTTTCAGTTGTTATTAACGGGGACCGTTTTGTGTCGTGAAACAGTTTTCTTTCTGAAAGGTCGAATACATAGTTCCCTTGACTGCCAATATTTCGATCTCATTGGCGTGTGATGGCCACAAGACCAAGGACGGCCATATTGCACGCATCTGCACGCTTATGTATGCAGGTACTATGTAGTCACTTATTCATTTTCCTCTGTATATACGCAAAGACCTGCTCCTGATTCGAAACAGCTCGTCACAATGGAATTGCATAGTTTGTGACTGCTTTGTACCTACCATCTCTACCGGTCTCTCCAACTGGTCAGGCTATTGCTAGACCACGAAACCTATAATAATTGCCTTATGGTTACCACGAGTGACATATTCTAAGAGTATGCAAACTTAATGCTGTTGGAATGTTGTCGCGCTAATGGGGTTTAGTGTGATGGAAAAGCCAATCTATGCTGTCAAACCATCCAAAATGTGGGCGTGTATGCCACGAAGTGCACTCGAGACCGAAAATAGCGCTTTCTGATAGGAAACATCAGGCGCCCGAGAAGGTCAAAGCATGGCTATAAGAATGAAAAAAAACCATGACAGACACTGCTCTCAGTCGTCATGGACCTCGAGCACCGTATTAAGGCTTACCGCTTTGTCGCCTACGCGGCGGTCACCTTTTCGGTGGTTGCAGTCCTTTCGGTCTGCGTCACGCTCCCGATGGTCTACAACTATGTCCATCACGTGAAGAGAACCATGCACAACGAGATCAGCTTCTGCAAATCATCCGCCAAGGACATTTGGAATGAAGTCAACCACCTCAAGAATGTCCCCGCTGGAAACCGAACCGCTCGTCAGGCTGGATACGGTGACGCCGGAGTCACTGGAGGATCCGCCAGCTGCTGGCGGTCACTGCGATTCTTGCTGTCTTCCAGGACCTGCTGGACCAGCTGGAACACCCGGTCAGCCTGGTCGCCCAGGAAAGCCCGGAGCACCTGGACTTCCAGGAAACCCAGGACGCCCACCACAGCAGCCATGTGACCCAGTCACTCCTCCTCCATGCAAACCATGCCCACAAGGACCCCCCGGACCCCCAGGACCTCCTGGACCTGATGGAGATGCTGGACGTGATGGACAACCTGGAGCACCAGGAAATGGTGCACAACCCGGAGCTCCCGGACCAAAGGGACCACCAGGATCTAACGGAAACCCAGGAGCCCCTGGTGCCCCCGGACAGCCTGGCTCACCTGCTGTCTCCACTCCACCTACCCCCGGAGCACCCGGACCAGCCGGAAATCCTGGACCTCAAGGACCACCCGGACCCAATGGACAGCCTGGACAACCCGGATCAGCTGGTGAGTTTAATTACGAGAAAAATTTCAATCGTTGATTCAGACGTTTACAAATTCTGCTTGTTTCAGGCCAACCCGGACCCAAGGGACCCAATGGACCCAATGGACAGCCTGGAGCCGATGGAAACCCAGGATCACCCGGACAAGCTGGACAGCCAGGTGGACCCGGAGAACCAGGAATCTGCCCCAAGTATTGCGCCATCGACGGAGGAGTTTTCTTCGAGGACGGAACTCGCCGTTAAACATCCAACGGTGTATTTCGTTTTCCATCTCACACAGTGTCATAGACATAAAAAGCTTTTACATGTTGTGGTTAAGCACGTCGTACTCATGTAAGAGTGACATTATTCGAAAATCTGTAACCAATAGGAACTATCATGCTTGAGTAGGGATCAACTAGATCATAAAGGAAAAACACAGTCTGACACTCAGGGTGTGTCGCAATATCATGAAATAATAAAAGCAAATAGAGCAGTGTGACGTTGGCATAAATATCGCTGAGAAAGCCGTAACTGTCACTGAGTTGGGCATCGACACAATGTTTGTCACCTCGTAACTTTGTTGAAGCCCTGATTAGAAGTGTAGCCAGAACCCGATGTTCTCTCACATCGTGGAAAACTACCTTCCTTCCTTCTCAAATATGTTAGGCTGTGCTGAAGTGAGGTCGATGCAGGTTTTGTAACTACCGATTTCATGCACTCATTTGGTAACAAAAAATATGTTGGGCTTTTGTAATCTCATATAAATAAGAAAAGTTTATTTCGCCTGATCCATTCCACAGGTGAATGTTACACCTTTTAGGAAAATGAAAAAATTTCACTTTACTAGGGACGGTCCCCAGGTCGAAGTGGCCATTTGTAATGAGACACAGATCGCGGCCCGTGTTTTTGGACTTTGATCTTAAAGGCAGTTGGCACGATAATTAGGCAATTATTCAAAAATGCTAGCAGGGACTATATAGTGAGAAAACGGCGAAAAAACGAGCGGAACGGTCAAAGACCTACAAAGATAACCCTTCGTTCTTAAAGGCAGTTGACACGATAAATTCCCCGAGACGACTAGGGTCAATACTCCTGGCAAGATATTCAAGGATGCAGCCACACCTACCCGATCTCAGGGATTTCGAGTATAAGAAGGTGCAGCTGGTGCAGCTTTAGGTTTTAGTATAGCTTCTGATCGGTCCTTGTGAATGATTCGCTCCCTACCCCTTATCCTACAAAGTCCCAATTCGAGTCTCAATCCTCGCTTGTGTGACTTCTGAGCTGTTTTAGTGAAATCTGCTTCCGCATAAATCATTCTAACCGTGCTCTAAAAGAAATCAGTAATTAGTCAGAAGAATCAGTGGTCAGCTGCGTGACAGTCATAAGAATTGAAACTCCAAAGCACTTTTCCTTCGTACCCCATGAAAGACAGTTTATGGGCTGGTGTTTGGTTCATTGGAGCTCTCGAACAAGGTGTTTGAGCACTTGGAGTTTTCCATCTTTGAAGTTTTCTCAGGATTGCCCTTCTGGCAATATTTGTTCAGCAAGCTCTGAAATCCAAAGCATTTCATCTCAGCATTTGCAGCGCTGCAGTCTCTAGTCCAGGTTAGCTATGCGCTAGGCGTCTCCGAAAGCAAGAAATCTCCACTGACTTTTGAAGCTATCAATGGTAATACGTTCCATGGTATGTTGACTTGGAAAAGCACTGCCTGTTTTGTCTGTATGTCATGTGATATCAGCTTGTGTTACGAAAACCCTCGTAGTGTATATTTCTGTGGAGAAAAAAACCAAGCCGTAAAAAGAGGGGGGTCGTACCGAACCCCCAAAAAGGGGGGGGGTCGTACGGGCTCGACCAAAATCCCCAACCAATGATGTGCCCTGGGCTGAACATTTAAAAAATTTAAGGACAGTGGATACGATCGCCATGTGCAAGCGGTTTTCGCCAACGTCATTGGTGGAAGGGCTGAATGGGGTTTAGCCGGGCCTTCTTGCAGCCCTTCCACCAGACGCTGGCGAAAACCGCCCTCCTCCCAATAATAGTGCTCACTGCCTTCAAAGAAAATCTTAAAATAGTTGAGCACATCGTCTCATAGAGCGAAAACTTCTCTATTAGCAGTGTAAAACTCAATGTTAAAACCATCCATATTCACCGCTGAACTTCGAGTTAAAGGCAGTTGGCACGATGATTTGGTGCTCGGCCTAAAATGCTAGTAGGGCGCTATATAGTGGGGAAATGGCGAAAGAACGGGGTCAAAATCCTGCGAAGAAAAAGCCTCCGTTCTCAGTGACTTGAAAATCGATTTCGGACGAGTTTCCCGTAGGCATCTTACCAATCACCGCTACCGAAGATACGGCTGCATATGTGTACCCATGTATGCATGCAGCATCACGGCCGCTTCATACCAATCCCTTCGCTTCATAATTTGCTTAGCAAATGAATGAATACGAGCGTCAGGAACGGTCGTCCATTTGTGGGCGGGCGGGCGTGGCGGGCGTTCGGGTCGTAATGTTGTAGCTTCATAGGGCCCTTATAAGGGCACCTTCCTTGGGAAAGGCGCTATGCAGGGGTCGCGGGATTCCGTCCTGCTAGGCGTAAATCCTACTTGTCTCGGGGATTTATCGTGCCAACTGCCTTTAAGAAGAATAGCAGATACTTACGGGCCTAAGCCAATACTTTCCACAGCTGCTCAGCTCTTTGAAGAAGGCTGTTAGCTTTTACCACACATTGGCACATTACCTTGTGGGTGTACAATCCACGCTTGCCTGCAGAACATGCAGTAATTACTTCAACTTCGTCAGAGCGAGCTAAAGTGCGGTCACTGCTTCCATAGACTTCAAATCTGAGAGTGTTAGTGTGCGAGGGTGAAAAGCTCTTGCACCTTCTGAAGAGAATGAGCATTGAGTTGAGTAACTTATTGTTTTCTAGAATATGGCTCATCTTTTGATTATCTGCTCGAGATTACTTATCTTTAATTACGGCGATTGCTATGGGAAGAGGTCGTCGAGTTTAGATGGC